TCTGCTGCTGAAAGTTGACGAGCCTATTGGGCTAACTGCTGCTATGAAAATGGATTCAGTTTGCACTGTGAGTGTTTGGACCCTACCTCTACTGCAAGGACAATGTAAAAAGATTTGGGAGATCCTGATTGTTCCCCCTGTTGTCCCCCGTTGTTCCCCTGTTCCCACAGGGGAACAACGGAGAGCTGAATGATCAAATGTTGGTCTATATGGAGAAATCGGGATGGATGGATGGTTGGATGAGTAGTAGGTAATGCAGCCTGATAATATTTACACTGCATCAGATAGCGTTCCCCTCTGCTTCACATGGGGGGAACGCTATCTGACGGGTTTTAAAAGCCCATCAGATACCGTTCCCCCAATGTTAAGCAGGGAAAACGCTATCTGACGGCATTTATAGGCCCGTCAGATACCGTTCCCCCCATGTTAAGCAGGGGGAACATTGATTTCTTTTATGTTGAGTTGCAAGAAATGCGAAACTCTCTGCAGGTACTTGTCTTTGTCTTCCACTCTATTCAGCTTGCTTTTGAAACACATGGCGAGAAAGTGGGGGTGGGTGGTGAGGGTTACGGGGGTGAGAAACGCAAAAGTAACGCAATAGTTACTTTTACTAGTAACTAGTTACTTTTATTGTGGAGTAACTCAGTTAGTAACTCAGTTTCTTTTTGGGAGAAGTAACTAGTAACTATAATTTCTTTTTCAAAGTAATGTGCCCAACACTGGTTAATATTACTGATTTAGCACAAGGATTTGAACCATTTGTGCAATAAAACTCAAGTGCACCCTAACCAGGCTGTTGGGACTAATGGAACAATGAGTAACTGTCAGCATAAAACATGAATCATCGCAACAACTCTTAATAGATCTTATCATATACCAAAAGTGGCAGATGTTCCAAAATGCACAGAAATCCATTCAAATTGCATGTTCAGGTTCCATAATGGTTTTGTAGTATGTAGAGCCAAGCTAAGGCGAAGCACAGCTCTTTGCTCAATATATATAAGTTTAAGCAGCTCAGTTACTATGAAGACAAAAAGCAGATAGAGCATAACGTTAGAGATTGAATTCACAAATACTGCAGAATGGGGGAATTGAGATAGAATTTCCTGAATTTCCAGACGTATGCCAGTGTATGAATGATCAAAACAGTGGCGGCCGGCCCATAGGGGGCGCTGGGGCACCGCCCTCCCTGATAAGAAGAGAGAAACGTAAAATATATTTTTAGAAATTAAATCATAAATGTCAGTTTTACTCTCTAGACTGTGTACCTATAAGCAAAACAAATTATATAAACTACATGTCCCTACCTACTGTCATTAATTTGTGGATTTCCACAGACAGACTCCTACCGTCTCTGTTCTGGGGGCTGTGATCAGACAGCCCCACATTTGCAGAGAATCTGTCAATCATGTACTTTTGCTACGTGAATTTAATGGCCAATCAGCGTCTCGGAACGTTATGGTCTTGGGGCTCTGAAAATACTGCACTTTTACAGGCTTCTGAACCCAAGCGCAGGTGCAGACAATGAGAGGGACGATGGCGAATGTAACGAACAAGATGCAGCTTCCAGCAAATTCGGTGAGATCCTTATTTATCTACCCCTTTGCCAGAAGAACATCCCTGTTGTAGGATATGAACATTTCATGTCATGGTTATTGTGACTCTGACGAATCCACCTCGTCGCTTAAAACAACCTCTCTAACTTTGCGCGCCACACACACATTCCTGTTATACTGTGTTTGTGAGGACCAATACACTCGCGCTGAGACCAGTACCTCCATTAACTTAAAACACACAAGCTGTTCCTGGTTACCTGCTGACGTATTGAGGGTGCACATTTAATATTTCAGTGGGGTTAGTCGTGTGTGTGTGTGGGTGTGTGGGGTGTGTGTGTGTGTGTGTGTGTGTGTGTGTGTGTGTGTGTGTGTGTGTGTGATGGGTGTGTGTGTGTACGTGTTTATGCTATGGGGACTTGTCATCTTCAGTCTGGCTGCATCTTTGCTGGGTTCAAATCCAGTTTGGTGTAATTGAATAAGTCAATGAATCTGTGTAAAAGAATTAAGTTGTAAAAATTATTTGTTTTTGTAAATCAATTGTTTGTGGAGGTAATATATGGACAAAACTGATTAATGAGAAGAAATCAGAAATAAGAGAGCCTGAGGTGAGGGGCTTAAACTATTTAATGAGGGCTGCGGGAAGAAAAGCGGCAATTTTTGTTGTCTGTTTCTTTGTTACATTGCTGGTAACTGGAGGGAGGCTGAGGCCCAGAGTATCTGGTATATGTTTAGTTTCTTTTGCACCCTGTTTTGAGTTTTTGAGCTCAATAAATCACCAACACCGGTAAAGAGGCCAAAGAACCCCGTCACAGTGACCAAAATCATCACTGTTACTGTTATTATATAGTAAATTAAATCATTACTGTTAAATTGTATGTATTGTCCAATTGTTTAACCGAATTCTTATTCCGGATTAGTTGGAGACATACACTAGGCTATATCAGCCCCACCAAAAATATTTTTCACCTGCCGCCACTGGATCAAAAGGGGTCCTTATGTCCTCCAACAGTCTAAGCCTATAGCAGCACAAATACAGAAAATAGCTCAGAATGACCTAAGGATTTTGGATTTGGTATAAGAAAGGTGGAGCCTAAGTGGGGCCAAGGTAGAGCCTATGAGAAACATCTATCCAGACTAAAATTCTCCCCCGCCGCATAGGACTGTTAACGCTTTACATCCACCAATATCTCTATTTACCCAGTGACTAAGCACACATCACTCAGTTTAGAAGCATACTGGCTTGTTTTAAAGTGTGTGACCTGAAATTTCAAATAAATGAAACATTTTACAACAGTTAAAGGGATTTGCATGCTCTATTTCAATTGAAAGCTAATGTGTATGAGAGTGGTGAAAACATCTGGTAAACTATTGGCCAGACAATTATATCACAAAGAGACTAGTAGGAAATTTGGGGTTTTAGGAAGAGTTTATTAAAGTGGGGTATATTATTTATTCCAAATTCTTGCAGATTTAATGGGCAACAGAAGTGAAAGTCTACAAACAAAATACTTAAATCCAGGAAAACAGACATGAAGGTCAAAGAAATGATGACAAGGAACCATCAAACAGTGACTGAAGCCCCTGTCACACCTTGGCAACAATGACAAATCTGGCACAAAAACAAAGCTAGCATATTTTGGATAAGGTATGGGTACATTTTGTGTAAATTATAAGCACGCTGAAAGATGCTGGCACACGTCGACCTCTGGTGAGTACATCGAGAAATCTTGAGCATGCTTACAATTTCCCGACAGTGTATGCCATAAATGGGGTATAAGTTGCACGTAAGTTGTCTGAGCATTGACATAGGTTAAGTTTAAGTTTCTCATAAGTTGTGGCGTCCAGCTTATTCAAAACCTATGAGTAACTTCCCCACCAGACTAGGGTGACCAGATGTCCTCCTTGTCCCAGACATTGCCTACTTTTCAGACCTAAAAAAATGTCCAGGAGGAATTTCAAAATCGTCCAGAATTTTGGTTGACTACAGTGCAAGCAGGTAGTTGAAACAGGGAGCCAGCGGGGGACAGAGCGATCAAACCTGACCCGGTAATGGTAGCCTGGACAACGGCAGCCCTGTGCTGCCCCCCGCCTGCCTTACCGTTCCCCAGCCACCCTCCTCCATCGGGAGGATGGGCGGCTCATGGCTCTCTGCTGAGTTCCGGCCCAGCAGTCGACAACCCCCTTGTCCTCCTTTTCAGAAACCCAAATCTGGTCACCCTACACAAGACTGCATTTCCATCAGTGAAGGTGCGTGTGATGGAACCTCCTTTGTTCACACTCACAGCCACAACCAACAAACTTCCTAGCTGACATGATGCCGAATCTGCTGTGACTGCCTGTGGCATGGTGACTCGTCAAATCGGTGCTCCACCAATAATGGCTTTTTATACTTGTTGCACACGTGCTTAACTCTGAATGGACCTAGTTAAAATTGATTGGATTAATTGATAGCAGCCATTGTGGAACTGAACACTCAGAGTTCCTGACTTTAGGCAGATCAATTTAGAGTTGCAGATTTGAATCTTAATTTGTTATACCTGCTTTGTGAAACAGAGCCCTGGTCTACAATTTCACCTCACAATCCATTATGGGATACTACAGCACCTCTTTAACTTTAGTCTGACCCAGAGGACAGTTCTGTTAACATGTAAAACTCCCTGCCTTGTTCCAGTAGGAAAGAAAACACACTCAACACTCCTCATTATCTTTAGACTTTCTGCCCTTAGAAGTGAGACTTATGTTGGTTTACCTGAGCAAGAAAACCATGCAGCTATCAGAAACCCCAGCAGTCTGCTCATCGCCCTAGAGTAAAAGATGCCATCATAATCCTGCTGTAAAAAAATCACTGTCCCTTCCCTTCTAGACAGGATAGTTAAATGCCTGCTGATGCTGACTATTAGCATTAGCGAGCTAGCAATCAGCCAGCAAACAGCATACTGTAGATGAGAGCTGGCAAGCGTGAAGTTGAAATCAGAGCTATCACCTTTAAACATTAAGCATTATGGAAAGGAATAATAGAAAGGAATACATTTCCTCTATATAAGGAATACATATATATATATTTTTGCCATATATATATTTTTTTGCCATACATATAAATATATATATATATATATATATATATATATATATATATATATATATATATATATATATATATATATATATATATATATATATATATATATATATATATATATATATATATATAAAACACTACTTTAAATGCATTTATAAATAAGCTTATTTTAGTAAAATCAAAGAAATTACTAATGTGTTAACATAGTATTCACCAACAAGCACTCAGTGATCATTTAGTCAATAATCACTGACAAAAATCTCAGGGTAAGACCGTCCCACATTTTTCCGATTGGTTAGCAACAGAATAAAAATTCTGGCTGTCAACCACATTCATAACCTGCAATACTGACTCAGGTGATTATTTCCCATTATGATTACACCAGAATGAAGATGTTATCATTACTAAGAGTCATCATTTTTACCGGCCTCCTGTTTGTATACAAGGCAGTTGGGGATCCTTCTTTTTGTCAGATACAGGGAAATCCTGAGTTTCCTGTATTTTCAGAAGAAGGAGATCTGAATATCGGAGGTCTTTTTTCTATCCACAACAATATCACAGAATCTTCACTTTTCTTTACAGAAAGACCAACAGCACTTAGTTGTACAAGGTAAGTATGAGTTATGCAAAAAAATATTGCATTGACTTTTTGCCTTTGTAAACAGAATTTTGTATTATGCTTTTCTTTACTTAGTATTTACCGTAGGGGGTTTCGATTTGTTCAGACAATGATTTTTGCCATTCAGGAAATAAATAAAAACAAGTTTCTTCTTCCCAATATTTCTATTGGATATCGGATTTATGACAACTGTGCATCCACGTTATCATCAATGCGTGCCGTAATGGCTCTGATGAATGGTGATGAGTTGACATTGGGAAATAGCTGCTCTGGGCAATCAGCTGTTCATGCTATTATTGGAGAGTCTGAATCTTCTTCAACTATTGTACTTTCTCGCACCAGCGGACCATTTCAAATTCCAGTGGTAGGAATAAAGCCAACCAGTGTTCATGTGTCCTTAATATGCAAAATCTGTTTTTGTTTTCTCTCTTGCAGTTTTCTTGTTTTGTGTTCACAGATAAGCCATTCAGCCACCTGTGAGTGTTTGAGCAATAGAAAGGAGTACCCCTCATTTTTTCGAACGATTGCAAGTGATCTCTATCAAAGCCGTGCCCTAGCACAGCTGGTCAAAAACTTTGGCTGGACCTGGGTTGGAGCAGTAAACAGTGACAGTGATTATGGCAACAATGGGATGGCCATCTTTCTCTCTGCAGCACAAGAGGAAGGGGTTTGTGTGGAATATACAGAAAAATTTGACAGGACAGAGCCAAGAAAGCTCTTAAAAGTAGTAGAAGTCATAAGAAAAAGCACTGCTCGGGTAATTGTTGGATTCCTTGCTCATATAGAGATGAAATATTTGCTAGAGCAGTTGAGTCTTCATAATATCACGGGGTGGCAGTTTATTGGGGTGGATGCTTGGATCACTGCCGACAGCCTTGTGACTCCCACCAGCTATAAAGTGCTTGGAGGTGCATTAGGTTTTGCTATACAAAAGGCAAACATCAGCGGGTTGGAAGAATTCCTTGTCAGAGGCTTTTGGGAAACAGGTTTTCCTTGTAATCAAAAAAATAACAAGGCAAGTCTGACAAAATGCAAAGAAAACAAGGATATCATGGAGCTCAGAGATAATCAGGATGATGTGACAAAGTTGAGATACACAACTAATATCTACAAAGCTATATATGCCGTAGCACATTCTCTACACAGCATCTTAAATTGTTCAGAAGGTCAAGGGTGTAATAAGACTGTGGAGGTCAAGCCATGGGAGGTAGAAAAACAACAACTTTTAACTTTTGTTGGGGGTCACAAGTGGACAAATATGTGGCTAAAAATATATTAATTTTGCCGTTTAGGTAGTAGAGGCTTTGAAGGATGTCAACTTCACCATTAAGAATGGGGACAAAGTGTGGTTTGATAACACTGGAGCTGCTGTTGCCAGGTATGAAGTGCTGAACTGGCAGCAAGGAGAAAATAACTCTGTTCATTTCAAATCTGTTGGCTACTATGATGCTTCACTACCCCCTGGTAAGAGGTTTGTTCTTAACGAAGAAGCAATTATGTGGCCGGGGGAATCAAAGAAGGTAAAGGCCTTTACTGACGATAAAATCTGATCACACTTGTATCTTAAAAAATAGAATTTACTTTTTAACAATATTATTCAATACTATTATTGTTACAGTTGCCAGTTTCAGTTTGCAGTAAAAGCTGTCTTCCAGGAACCTATAAAGTTCTTCAGAAAGGAAAACCTGTGTGCTGCTTTGACTGTATACCTTGTCCAGTTGGGAAGTTTAGCAACACCACAGGTACCACAGACCCAAACTATAGTATATGCACCCTCTTTGCATACTGATGTGTGAAAATTTTTTCTCAATTTTAAACATTGTTAGGGTGCAAACGATTAAATGATATTATTAACAATATCTTTCATTGCAGATTCAATAAACTGCAAGAAGTGCCCTGAAGAATATTGGTCCAATCAAAACAGAGATGACTGTATACCCAAAAAAAACGATTTTATCTCTTTCATTGAAATCATGGGCAAAGTACTGGTATTTTTCACTTTGTTGGGAGTTTTCCTAACTTTAATAGTAGCCATGTTGTTTTTAATCAATAAGAACACTCCATTAGTGAAGGCAAACAACTCGGAACTGAGCTTCCTGTTGCTTTTTTCCTTGTCTCTCTGTTTCTTGTGTTCTTTGACATTTATTGGCAAGCCCACCGGCTGGTCCTGTATGTTGCGACACACAGCATTTGGCATTACCTTTGTCCTCTGTATTTCTTGCATTCTTGGTAAAACAATAGTGGTTCTAATGGCCTTTAAAGCTACACTTCCAGGTAGTAACATGATGAAATGTTTTGGGCCTGCGCAGCAAAAACTCACTGTTTTGTTTTTCACTTTTATACACTGCAAAAACAATCCAGAAATAAGTAAAAAATGGCTTAAATTAAGTATATTTAGCCTTAATTTGAGCAGGTAAATAAGATGATTTGCCAATGGAATGAGTATTTTCACTCTTAAAATAAGATAGTTAGATAATATTTACTTGAAATAAGACGATAAAATAGTTTTTTCTTATTTTAAAAGGAAATTGTCTTGTTCCATTGGCAAAGTGTCTTACTTATCTCCTCAAATCAAGGAAAAACACACTTATTTTAAGAAAAAATAACTTATTGAGATTTATATTTTTTGCAGTGTACAGATCATAGTTTGCATCCTGTGGATAACAATAAATCCTCCCATTCCTTACAAAAATATGAATTATTATATGGAGAAGGTAATCCTTGAGTGTGATCTTGGGTCACCTTTTTGGTTTTGGGTTGTGTTAGGATACATTGGTCTCCTTGCCTTTCTATGCTTTGTCCTTGCTTTCTTGGCAAGAAAGTTGCCTGATAGCTTCAATGAGGCAAAGCACATCACCTTTAGTATGTTGATCTTTTGTGCAGTCTGGCTCACCTTTATCCCAGCTTATGTCAGTTCACCTGGGAAATTTACTGTTGCTGTTGAGATATTTGCCATACTAGCATCAAGTTACGGGATACTGTTTTGTATATTTGCACCAAAGTGCTATATCCTTGTTATAAAACCTGAGCTAAACACAAAGAAACACCTTCTGGGAAAAACACAATGTTAATTATTATGAGTTGTTATTATTTTTACAAGATACAGAAACTTTTCTTTATATTTTTTTACATTTAGCTGTTTGTTGTTGGAGGACCTCATAAAAAACAAATACATACAAAATTCTAAGCAATGTACTCAGCACTGCAAATATAAACACATTTTTGAAAAACATTATGGTTTCCCTGTTTTCTTTAACATGACGGACCCAAAATATACAGAATTAAATACATGCTCTGTGGATCAATGGTAATTCAATCAAAAGTCAAAACTACACCTTTTTCATTAAAATTATATATTTTGCTAAACTAATACATCTAGAGTGGTGTAGAAACAAATAATCAAATTTCCTTTAAAAAGATATTACATATAATTAATTGATCTATACAATTTAATTCCTCCAAAGTATGTCAATATCCAGTTTTTCATGTTAAGGAAATTTAGAGTAACCAGCAACTTGATATTGTCCAAGCATTACCTCCTGGTGAAACACTGCTGTTACATCCATCTTTGTAGCTTCTGTTAATAACAAATAAAGTAACTTCTCTTCAAAGCCCCATAAACATTAAAATGTATACAGGATGTATTTAATTCTTTTTTTGTGGGTAAACTCTAATGGGTGCGGAAGCATATTGCATTCACCAAAGAAAAAAATTCTGACAACTTATCTCATAAGTATGAGATCAGTATATCATAATTACGAGATATCTCGTAAATACGAGATAAGATGTCATAATTATGAGATAATATATCACATTTAGGAGATCTGGAAGGACAGTCATTGCTGATCTCCGCTACATGAAACGTGACCATTGAGTGGGTTGTTAGATTTAATCTGCTTTTATTTCCTATTAGGTATGTAACACTGGGAAATACAGAGTTTCCTTAACATGGACTGAATTAATTTTAATTTGTCAGCATTGTAAAGTAAGTCCTCAGAATTTTTTAGGTGAAGAAGCCCACTCTGACTTCACACTTTTCCTGCAGGAGCAATTAAACCAGCACGGGCTGCTCTATGGTTGTAAATGAATATGTCTGAAAAGCATTTAAGCTGGCTTGGTGGTGTCACATAGAACTGTCTATCGATATCTTCTCAAAATCCTAAATTCACAAAGAGAGCTGAGGGTTCTATAATGACCTCAGAACGTTGGAACCATAATTCGAGGCGAGACAGGCAGTGGGAAAGTTAAAAGTGTTTGTGGCAGAAAAATCACTCCATATCCATAGGGCAGAAACAGGTCGCAATCAGGAAAATAGAACGAAATATAGATCGCTAATTAATCTCACCAAACTGCTCAAATAATCTGCCGCTGATGGAAGGTAATCACGCAACATGAATAGCTAAATAATCGGGTGGAAATTATCGGGGTTAATCAGCTTCAGGACCAATTAGACAAGGGAGCAAGGAGGAAAGAAAAAAACCGAACCATCAGCGCCGAGTTCATGACAGCTTCAGAATCTTTTTAAAACGACCAGGTCCCAACTTCATGCAGCATGTCGATTCATATGAAAAACTAAAACCAAACAGAATCTGTATTAACAGAGATGTTCTTTGTCTAAATGACCATTTCAAACAAGATGAAATTCTCCACATCTAGAGTAAACATTCTGGATGTCTAGAAATTACATTAATAAATGTAACAATGGCCTGCCAAAGTAACTTCATACAAATTTACGTATTAACTGGAGCAACAATCTTTTCCTTCTCCATCTTCAACCTTTGTAGCTGTAGCACTGTTTCTCTGTCTATTAAACACATTCTCCTTTTTTACTTAATTTTTTCACATTTCTGCATTAAAATCTCTGGTTCCAGTGGGATGAAATATGCACTTCCTGTTGCCTGTTGTCATGGTGACTCATAGAATATGTGCTCCACTGATAATGTCTTTTCATACTTGTGGCGCATGCATAGCAGCCGTTACAATAAAGAGTAGACACACAGGCACAAATTAATGCAGCGGGAATGCAGACAATCTTTATACAATTAAACCGGAAAAAAAAGGTCAATAAAATTGCATTTCAAAAGAGATTGCAAAGAGACATTGGGGAAGAAAGTCTTTCTCATTGCAAAAGTAATATTTTGGACAAAGCTTGGTTATGTCTCAATCCATCCAAGATGCGACTACAGAGCAGATGTTCCATGCAATTCCCCAGGTTCACAGAGCACTCAAGGCCCTGCTGTCCAGGTACGAACTCATCATTTTCAAGACAGAGAGACTTGCCTGTAATGTAACACCTAAACATGATTTTATTTTATATATTTATAATTTTTTGTTTTGTTTAATCAGATCTTTATGCACCTACAGTGGACTGTGAAGTGTGATATACAGTAACGACATTTTCTAAAGCTTCTTTTGATGAAATGGCATTGACATAAAGTATGATTGAATGTATTCATCCAATTATAACTCTTTAATTTATTGATAATGTTACACAACAACTATTTGTAATTAAACTTATTTATTATTGATTTTATTATTATTTGCTTTGGGAGAATTTGGGATTGAACAGTAAATCATGTAGCTGAATTCAAAGGCTGAGGTATTTGTAATATAATCCATAAAAGGGAGATGTTATTACAGCCATCCCCAAAGTCGGTCCTCGAGGGCCTCTGTCCTGCAGGTTTTAGAGGATTCTTTGCTTTGACTGACTTTGGGGATGCCTGTGTTATAACATACTCTGATAACTCCCAAGTTAGCCTCTTTTCCCCTGCCAGACAGGGCCAAAATTCTCCTCCTCCTTTTTTTGAGGTTTTAACATATCCCATGGCACAGATCAGTGCAATATGCTGATGAAGTTGCTTATTGTCATATATATGACACATATAATTCGGAACTAACCAGGGATCGTGCAATGTGAATATAATCAAAGATGTCATTGTACATGAGATTATTAATTTCATGATGAATAGTGTGCCATGGAATAGTAACATCATAATACAAAATTTGCAGTGTAGGTAGAATATAAGTACAGATTAATCCTTATTTCAGGCAAATGTTCTATCATATGATACAATGAAGAATCAAAAAGATCATCTTCTCTTGTAAGCCACTGACTGAAGGATTAGTTTAGCATAGGTTTATAGTTTTTAACAAAATTTGGACATTCTTATATCCACTTAGTTGGTTTGAAATCAGACGAACACTGAATTCCTTACGGGATGCAGTGTCATGGAAGATTCGGGATAACAGACAACTGAACAATTGTGTCAATGCAGCTAACTTAAACACACCTCCTGTCAGAGCATCCATATGACAGTGAAGTCAGGAATTGCAGCATTGTTTTCCAATAAAGTTGTTGAATGTCTCAGTTGAATTCACTCATAACCTTCTTGAAGTCACAGATGTTTGTTGTTACTCTTACTTTCCCAGGTAGGATGTAGACCCTTTGCAATATAACTATCTAATAAGCAGAAATGTCTGGAAAGGGAAATAACTAGCATAAAAATAAAACTCGAAAAAAATGAAAGCATAAAGATAAAAGTGAATACAT